GTGTCTTCCACTATAGGGATGGAGCGAGCAGGACACTGTCAAAGGGAATGGGTACTGAGAAGCACCAGACGAACAGTAATAGATGCTCATTACCATGAAAGGTAGCTTTCTTCTTCATCTTCTCAATTCTCCACTCTACTCCCTCTGACACACTCCTCCACATTCGACCCGTTATGCCCCATGAGAGTTTCTTTGATTACAAGCTACAGAAACCCACATCAAACCCTGCAGGGATAAATAAACCTGTTCACCCCTGTATCTGAGGAGCCCAAGGGCACTGCGGCTTCAGGCTTGTTGGATTCAAGTGCTCAGGAGTCTCTCCTCCTCACTCAGAACTGAGCTCTGCTTCCTTCTCTGTTGTTTTTGTTCTTTGACAAGCTCTCCAAGTGGTGGGAAAGTTGACTTACATGGTCCTTACTGCCCATCATCTCAGAAGGGGAGGCACTTACATCAAATCCTAAAAATTAATCTGCTGTGATAGTGGACAAACTCCTGTGTCCAAGGGCATGGGGCACTCTTGTTGGCTAGCCGGGGTCACATGCTTTCCAAAAGAGTGGGTTCCAGAATCACAAGGAGTGTTGAGGGTGGGGTGTGTGTGTGTGTGTGTGTGTGGTGGTGGTGGTGAGATGGCAAGCTCTAAAAGGAAGGAATGGTGGCCACTTAAAAGGGTACCTTCTACCCACAGGCACTCCAGACACAACAGCCAACAGTCATTCCCTCAGTCCCCAAACAAAACCCCAAAAGCTCTCTCTGCAACTCAGCAAACTCAGTGCTGATTGCTCGAGTCAGTTCTAGTATCAGAACATCTGCATTAAAAAACCAAGAAGACCCAGTTTGAGTTTGGTTCATGGAGGGGATTTTCAAGCTTTGGCAATTCCTCCATGCAAGCAACAGAAGACACTCCTCAGCTTTGTGAAAATCACTCTTCCTTCCCTTCCTAGTAGAATGACAGTTCACAACTGTCATGCACCTGCCCCCTAAACAGAGGACGTACTCCTGAAAACCTGGGGACAAACTGAATTACTATTTTACCTTGTAAATTTAAAGCTAAAGGTGAACTCCAGGGAATCAACTCACAGGAAGTTCTCAGGCAATAACCAGGGAGTGACTGTTGGGTTTCATACACACAAAATAAGATAACCTTACCTGTAGGGAGAAAAATTCAAACTCATTGAGAGTAAAAGGATGAGAGTTAAAATAATAGCTGATGTTTATTATTTGCTAAATGTCAAAGCACTTTTCATAGATTATATCATTTAATTTTCACAATAGCACTATACATTTCATTATTATCTCCATAAAAGGCTAAATCATTTGCCAAAATAACATAGGTAGTCAGCAGTGGTAGAGCAAGGATTCAAACCTGGGCAGTTTAAAGTCACTTTGCTGGAGCTTCATTCATTCTACTATTATGTGGAATGCCTGCTATGTGCTAGAAACTATTCAAGGAGATGAGATAAAAAGCTGTAAACAGTGCAAAACAAATACATGTCCTCAGGAAGCTTACATTCTTGTGGGTGAGAAAGACAGGAAATCAGGCCAATGAATAAGACATAATCTAGGTTAGATAGTGATCAATGCAAGGGACAAAACTAGAGCACAGAGGAAAGAGAGGAGGGAAGAGGGGTGGATTCTGAATAGGGTGATCAGTCAAGTCTCACTAACAAGGTGGCACTTAATAAAGATCTGAGGTAGTGAGGGAGCAAACCATGCAGATTATCTGATTATCTGGAGGAAGAGAGTGGTGGGTGCAGGAAATAGCAAAGACAAAGAGCCTGAGGAAGGAACACAGGTAGCATGTTCTACCACTAGCAAGGAGTTCACCGTGACTTGAGCATTGTGATCAAGGAACAGAGCAGGAGGGGATATCAGAGAGGTACCAGATCCTCCAGAGTCTTGTGAGTAGCTATTAGGGTTTTGCCTTTTACTCTGGTGCAATGCAGTCATTTGGGGGTAAAGCAGAGGTGGGGAGTGAGATTACTTAGTTTAAAGAGGGTCTCTCTCACTGATTGGAGAGCCTTTTGTGGCTCAAGGAGTTCAAGAGGGAGGTTGCAGCAGTAAGCCAGGTAGAAATGAAGGTGCTAGTGCTAAGCCGCTTTCAGTCGTGTCCGACTCTTTGTGACCCCGTGGACTGTAGCCCCCCAGGCTCCTCTGTCCATGGGATTCTCCAGGCAAGAATACTGGAGTGGGTTGCCATTTCTTCCTCCAGGGAATCATCCCCACCCAGGGGTGGAACCCACGTCTCTTTTGTCTCCTGCATTGGCAAGTGAGTTCTTTACCACTAGCGCCACCTGGGAAGCCCAGAAATGAAGGTGGCCTAGACTAATGAGTTGACTCAGAAAAAACCCTGATGCTGTAAAAGATTGAAGGCAGGAGAAGGAGAAACCAGAGGATGGTCACTGACTCAAAGGATGTGAGTTTGAGCAAACTCCGGGAAATGGTGAAGGACAGGGAAGCCTGGCCTGCTGCAGTCCATGGGGTCGCAAAGAATTGGACATGACTGAGCGACTGAACAACCACGGACTAATGGCATGGGGGAGATGTGGCCAGTGTTTCCCTTCTGGGTTTATTGTGAAATCAAAGGACTAGTTGACACAGGAGATGAAGGGTGTGTGAGGAGGATGGCTCCGGGGCTGCGGGCCTGAGCAGCTGAAGACTGGTCTTCAGAGATGGGGAAGATGCAGGAGCGATGGCTTTATTTTTGTGAAGGGGGGAGGAGGGAAAGGGTTATCCAGGCTGCAGTTTGGGACCTATTAAACCAGAGATTCTGCTTAGACATCTAAAGGGCAGTGATGGGTGGCAGACCTGGGGTTCAGGAGGGCAGTTGCTCAGCTCTGCAAACTATACTCTACCCCTTGAGAGTAAGCAATGACACCCTCATGCAGTTTTGGAAAAATGATGGCTGTATCAGAAACACTGGAACAGTATTAAGAAAAGTCAAATTTAAAGATTCACCCACATCCTGTTACCCTCCAAACAGCTGCTTTTATTTGGTCAAATTCTGTTTTTGCCCACAGGCACACTTAACTTTATAACGTCAAAAGCATAGCATGGATACAATTACACATTCTAGTTTTTTTTTTTTTCACTTAACACAATCTCATAAATATTTTCCTAATGTGTGCTTCCCGGGGCCAACAAAATGCTTGGCATTGCTGAGACCTTTCAGAGACAAAAGTTAAAAATCCTCCTTTAGTGCAAAGCTTGGTGCTGCTAGAGTTGGCATCGTGTTTGCTGTAATCTTGGTGGACAATGACCGTAGAAGTGATTCCTGAGCCGGGCCCTGAATAATTACAGTCTGCCGTGCACCCGGTCTGGGGAAGGGCATTTCAGGAAGCGGGGAGGGCATGTGCAAAGATCCTTAGGAGGCAACAGGAAAACACAATTAAGAGCTGTTGGCAGATTCACTTCACCGGACAATTAAATGGAAATTATTTTATCTTTGCAAAATTAAAAAAATATGTTTACACTACAGAAAAGTGGGTACACTTTTCCTCTGTGATTCTGAAATTATTTTATCTTTGCAAGATTAAAAAAATATGTTTACACTACAGAAAAGTGGGTGCACTTTCCCTCTGTGATTCTCTACCAGGGAAGGAGAAGTTAAATGGAAAAATTTAGAACCCAATGAACCCTAGTAGATGCAGTGGTTCTTAAGAGTTTCTGGGCTTCAGACCAGAGACAAACTCCATCTTGGAATCGTATTTGTTCATTCATCACAATCCCTCGCCCAGAACTGGAATCCAGTCCCTTAATTTTATAGAAAAGGTCTAGGGTCCAAAGAGGGTAAGAGACTTACACAAATTTATCCATCTCTATTATAGAGGGTTCTAATTAGGGCTGTGAGCTCAGTCCTCCACATCAGACTCTAAGAAAACATGATTCGTCCACGCGACTCCATCGTTGACAAAACCCTTTGTTAGCTGGGAACTGCACTCCTCCCCTTCCTCAATTTATCAATCATCTGCGTAACTATTTACTCAAAAGCAGGAAAATTATTGAGAAAACCCTTTTGTCCACGACTCCTGAAGGCAGGGACTGGTTTCTGCTTCCTCGCAGAGCCAGCAGGGGGGGGCACCAGGCCAGGTTTGTGAGTCGAGCCTTTCCCCGCCCCCCCCCCACCCGCCCCGCCGCTTCCTCGCCCAACTTCCCCATAGCCGGTGCTTCAACTATAAGTGGCCATTGACCTTTCAAGCTTTTGAATAGTGATGCAATAGAAGAGTATTTCAAAGAAAAATGGTTATCGAAATTTTGGATCCGGTTTTCCCATGAGTGTTGATGGGTTTTTAAAAAGTAGGTCACATTTAAAGTAGGTCACATCTCGGGAGGAGACGTGCTGGGAGGGAGATGAGTTTTAACTGAGGCCAGGTGGCCTCCAACCAGGTGGGAGGAGGTGAGGGTCCCTGGGCAGGGGAGAAGAGCTGGGGATCTTTCCGCATTCCGGGTCCCCCAGGCTCCAGTTCTGCGGGAAATCCCAGTGTTGAGCTCTCTCAGGCTGCGGACACGGAGGCGGGAGGGCCACGCGGATCACAGAGCGCGCGGGTCTGAGCGTCCCCTTCGCGATCGGCGCTGGTGAGCCGGGAGGGCCGCCGGGTGGCCGGAAGGAGACGGCGGAGCGGAGGGAAAGAGGGAGGAGCAGGGCCGGGCCGGGGCGGGAGACCGCGAGCAAGCCCGCCAGGGGGAGGGAACTGAGAGCGACCAGCGCAGTTTATCCAGGCGCCGCTCTCCGCCCGCTGGCAACCTTCTAGGACCCAGGCCCAGGGGACCGCAATCGGCCCACTCCCTTCGGCTCCTGGGCGTGGACCTGGAAGGGGGGGGGGGGTGGTTGAAGAGGGGACTCCCTCACTCCACGAATGTGTCTTAGAGCGGGAGGGGGCCATTTCCGAGGACCTCTAGTCTCTCCAACACCCCCTCTTCCAGATGTGCGGCCTGGAAGGTGGCCTAGAGAAGGCACGGAGGGGGTGGGCAAGACACCCCCGGCGGCGGGCCTAGGGGCGAACATGTCTGTTAATTGCTCGACCCCGGCGCACTGCCTGCATGGCTTGGAGACAAGCTCCGGCCGCGGGAACCGGCTTGGTGGTGGCCCGGGGCTTCTCCTGCGCGTCTCCGAGCACTCCCAGGCGTTGGGGGGTCAGAGGAGGGCGAATTCCCAGGCATCCACCCCGACCGGGTCGGAACCCGAGCGCTCGGAGCCCGTCTCCCCCAGAAGCCTGAGCAACAGCGCCGGAGTCTCTTTAAAGCAGTAGCGGGGGCCGCGGTCACGTGGGGGTGGATTCCTGGAAAGTTCCTGGAAAGCGGCCTCCGCAGCCTCTGGGCGGGGCTCGCGGGGAGCGCGGATGGGGAGAGAGGCGGGGAGCGAGGGAGGCGCGTACGTCTGGGAAGTCGCGCGCACACACCGCTCCCGGGACGGACGTTTAACTCCAGTCTCTCCGCCGCCGCCGCGGCTCGCGGGCCCTGGGCTTCCTCTGAAGCATGAGCCTCCTCGCCCGCCGCCACTGGCGCTGCGCGGGCCACGGACGGCGCGCGCCGGGGCCCCGGGTGCACGGCCTCAGGGTCGCCTTCGCCTGCAGCTGGGGCGCCGAAGGAGCTCGGGCCGGCGGCAGGTATCGGTCCGGGGAGTCCGAAGGCTCCGCCCCCACGAGGGCTGGGGAGGGCACTGGGGCGCGGCCGCGAGCACTGGCGGCTGCGGAGCTTGGGCTTCCGCAGTTTGGAGCCGCCGGGCTTGAGAGTCGGAACTGCGGCTCTGCTCGGGGGCTGGGAGCTACTGCCTGCTTTCTCCGGTTCTTTCCCGGCGTCTGGAAGTCTCCAGAGTTTTTTGGTTTTTTTTTTCCCTGTAAACTGCCGTGCAGATTAATAATCCTTCTAATAACCTGATCTCCCGCTCCTCCCCACCCGCCTGCCTCCCGCCCTGACTCTTTTCCTCCCTCCCTCTCCCCTTCTCATCTCCTTGGCTGCAGCTGGAGGGAACCCAGCAGCTGCCCCCGATCGGGGGGCGGGGGCTGTCGGAGCCCGGAGGAGGTGTCTGAGCCCAGAGAGTCGAGGCAGTGGTCCCCGGGACTCACGTTTGCTCTCTGCGCAGAGAACTCCGGACGCCTCCGCCGCTGAGCGCAGGGCTAGTCACCGCCTTGGGCATCTCGTTCCCAAATTAAAAAGTCAACCGGGGAAACTCGGGCAGACACTCCTCCTCCCGGGCCCCTCCCGGTTTCCCCGCCCCGTGCGGGCCGGAGGCTGCCTGGTGTGGAGGCGGCCACGGCGGTCGAGGCCGAGGTAAGGGCTCGGCGTTGGTTGTCTAGTATGTCCCGCAGAGCTCTCAGCCGCGTGCTCGGCCTGGGCTCGGGTCACGGGTCGGAGCCCCCGCAAGGTCTGCGCGCTCGGGCAGATTCCTCGACAGCGCCCGCGGCGGCAGCAACAGCAGCAGCAGGAGCCGCCAGACCTCGGGAGCGGCAGCCTTGGCGCCCCCCCCCCCCCCACGTCCGTGCCCCCAGCGCGGTAGGGGAGCGAGGCAGCCTCTTTTGCGGGGTGGCCGCAGCTCCCGCACCTCCGAGTCCCGGACTGCCGGCTCTGCCCGGGGAACCCCGCGGCGCTCTGGGGCCGGTAGCTAGGTTTGTGCAGGGGGCTTCCTCCGGGGCTCCCCGGGCTGTGCAGAGTGTGAGATAGGAGTGCCAATTTGGGGACCTCGTCTGTTTCCTTTATAAATTTCTGCTCGTCCTTGACACTAGGGCCCATTTACCACCGTACCCGCAGGTGACTCTTCGCTCTTCTCGTCTCTAGTCTGCGATTTCAGACAGCAGCCCTCGGCGGGAAATTGCCCGGTTCCCCACCCTCATCCTGTCCGCTCCCTCCGCCCCCCCACGCCCCTTGTGTCTTGGATCCCTGCTGTCTGTCTCTCTCCTTTCTCTGGAACGGGCCAGGGCAGTAACTGGATGCCCGGGGTTAAATGGTGCAGGAGCACAGACGCGGAGGAGTCCCCGGGATTTTCCACATCCCTGCCTCTCCACCCATACCCCGGCCGCAGGGGTCCAGTTCCGACTGACCCAACCCTCCACTTTCTCTTTGCAGGCGAACTGTGCGTGAACGCGCCTGCGGGGGACTTGGCCATCGGTGCACCGGAACCCGGGGAGGAAGAGCCTGCAGCGCCCCATCCCCACCCCCTCCACCACCATTTCGGGGACCCCTCAGGGAGTGGTTTTGGGGTTCCCACTGACTTCTAAGAAGGACGCGTGCCCTTCTCCGACCCCAGCTCGGGCGGCCACCTGTCTTTGCCGCGGTGACCTTTCTCCCATGACCCTGCGGTGCCTCGAGCCCTCCGGGAATGGCGCGGAAGGGGCGCAGAGCCAGTGGGGGACCGCGGGGTCGGCGGAGGAGCCGTCCCCAGAGGCGGCGCGTCTGGCGAAGGCCCTGCGGGAGCTCAGTCACACAGGTAGGGAGCGGACCCGTCGCGATGCGTGCGAGAAGGGGGCGCCTCCCAGGAGACGCGGATGGGGCTGTGCTGGCGAGGCTGGGGAGCAACCGCTTCCCGTCCCCGCCGCGGGGCAGGCGGCTCGCGGGAAGGATGCCGCCCGGCTCTGGATCCTTGGGAATGCGAAAGGAAAGTGGTTTGTGAGGGACTCCAAGGCCTAGAGGAGGGCAGAGCTCGAGGAGGGCTCCTTGGAAATCGACTCTTAGGGCGCTGGCACTTTAGCTATTTTCCGCGGCTGCTTGAGGGTCGGCCCTCGGGCTCGGACCCTCTGGAGATAGTGCCCGGCGCCTTTCCGGTCCGCGGGGTGCGAGGGCAGTGAGTGGGCGCTGCGCTGCCCGCAGCTTCAGCTGCATCCGGCTCCCGGGCCCGGCAGCCGCTACAGCCTGGAATCTCGGCAGCCAAGTTCAGGCACCGACAGATTGCCGCGCAGGCGACTGCCGCAGAGCCAGGAGCACAGCGGACTGCGGGGCCCCAGCCGAGCCTGGCCTCGCTGGTGTCTAGGGGCAGCCTTGCGCTTTGCGCGGCTCTCTATCGTCTCTCGGCATCTGAAAGAAGACAAGATGGGGGCGGTGAGGGGGGGCGGGTTCTGGCAAACCTTGTGCAAGCTTTCAAAATCGGGACTCTCAAAGCTTACGTTTGGGGCAGAGGTGAAGTTTTGGTAGAGGTAGGGGAGAGGGAATAGTTCTTCACTTGTGTTTCCGGTCTTTCCTTGCGGGCCAAGGGCTTTCCCTGCGCGCGAGGAGCCGGCAGATTGCAGGTCCCCGAACAGTTTTTTTGAGGTAGGGGGTGGGGAGCATTGTTCAAACGTTTAATATGAAAGATGTCGCTAAGCCGCTTTTGAAAACAGGATGGGAGATGGAACTGGCAGGTCGAATCGAGAATGCCAGGGAAACCGACGGTTGTGATTGGATTTGAATTAGGGCGAAGTCCAAGAGAGTTTATAGAAGATTGTAAACTTGAAGTACTAATTATCCATTGGGCTTTCTCTCATTTCTCAATGGCTGATAAGGTAGTTGCAATCAAAACAGCAGACAGAGGCTACGGTACTAGAACTGTTCTTTTAAAATAGCGGTGCTTTCTAGGGCTTTGAAAAGAGATATAGATTTGGGAAGGGTGGAGATGGACACCAACCAGCCAAAAAGTTGTTGCTTTTAATTTTGTTGGTATTAACTGAAGTTGGGTTTTCCATTTTTTCTGGGGCATGGATTTTCTAATTTCTGACTTATTTAATGTACATTCAATCTTTGATTTCACTTGAAAAGTATCATGTCTGCTCAGCCAGCGTGTCATATTACAACCATTCTTTTGTGTTAGAAAATCTTAAGAGTTCAAAGAACAGTTACAGAAAGTTACTTTTTAAAAAAGAAAGCTGGCTTGCAGTTTGTTCAGAAAATTAAATGGACCCACGTTTTCAGTAAATTTCTACAGAATGTATTTATGGTAGCCTATGGTAAACTTTCACACACTTCTATTAAAAAAATTCTCTATAATAACTATTTAACCCTCTTTTCTTTTTCTTTTTGAACAAAAACCCCAGGTTGGTACTGGGGAAGTATGACTGTTAATGAAGCCAAAGAGAAATTAAAAGAGGCACCAGAAGGAACTTTCTTGATTAGAGATAGTTCGCATTCAGACTACCTATTAACAATATCTGTTAAGACATCAGCTGGACCAACTAATCTTCGCATCGAATACCAAGATGGGAAATTTAGATTGGACTCTATCATATGTGTCAAGTCCAAGCTTAAACAATTTGACAGTGTGGTTCATCTGATCGACTACTATGTTCAGATGTGCAAGGATAAGCGGACGGGCCCAGAAGCCCCCCGGAATGGCACTGTTCACCTTTATCTGACCAAGCCACTCTACACATCAGCACCACCTCTGCAGCATCTCTGTAGACTCACCATTAACAAGTGTACCAGCACCATCTGGGGACTGCCTTTACCAACAAGACTAAAAGATTATTTGGAAGAATATAAATTCCAGGTATAAGTGTTTCTTTGTTTTCTAAACATGCCTCCTATAGAATATCTCCGAATGCAGCTATGTAAAAGAGAACCAAATCTTGAGTGACGGCTCTGGATAACTACGCGGAATTCTAAGACCAGCTGAAGTCAATCTGATTTAATTGTATGACAAGGTAGCTAGGTATTTAAAGTTTTCCCCACATGTTTTCAACTTGAGGGATGCCTCCCTTCCTAAGGCTGACCAAGACCAGTTGATCCTTTTAAGTTAAGAATAAAACGGCCCAAGTAAAGGCTGAAGGAACACTTTCTCAGAACTCTCACTTTCTGAGGTTCGTTTGTGTTAGGTGAAAGGTCCCCGCACTGGTAGGAAAGAGCTCCACTTAGGAGTGCCGAAGAAGTGGAAGGAACGAAACTGACACAGGCTTAACTTCAGTTCTGTGTGCCTGGTGATCAGAGTCTATTTTAGGACATTTGATATTTTGCATTCTGATGTAGTTAGGAGATTTGTTAAACAGATATGCTTGTGAGTATTTATCCTTCATTTTATGCAATTAACCAAATCAGCCAAAAAAAGTGACCATGAAATCCTGTATTTGTCTTTTTACTACATGTATGAACTCTCTCATGAATGAGTACTGTAGTAATCCTCTTCAAGGGAGCCTTATTTCAGAAATATTTCAAACTGGTGCAAATGGAAAAGATTTCTTTTCCTTTAAGGCTAAAGACAAGAATGTCATGTTATACAGGTGCAACTCAATCCCTGTTAATAAAACCATGTAGATAGAGACATTTTACCCTTTGAAACAGCTGCGTCCCACAACCTGTTGCCATTGATTTTTTGGAAATGGCTTTAGGAATTTCCAAGTGGTCTAACCATAGACATTAGCAGTTGTCTCCCTTCTACCATGTAGAATACTTTGACTTAATTTTCTTCCAGATATAGGGGGATACATGCCTGCTTTTCAAAGTGTTTATTTACTGCTGTTACTATTTGATTAGAATGTATTAAATAAAAAAAAATGGACTTTCACAAGTTTCACTTATTACTTTGAATACGCTTTCATGGTATTAGAGGGTTGCCATAAAAACTTACATCAAGTGAAATAAACCAAATATTGAGCCAGAGGTAGAACGTTACTTGCCCTTCTCTAAAGTTATGGGTCACACTTGCCCTTTGTGTTTTGGAAAGCATGGTTTAGAAATTCCCAAGAGTTGCCAAGTGGCCTGGTCTTTACAAGTTGAAAAGGCATAACACTAATATCCTTTGTGTGTCCAAAATACCTGGTTTAGAGACCAGGAAATTGTGACACAGACTCTTATAGGTTGAAGAGGCACAATACAAAATAAAAGTTTTACGGACATTTTTTGGCCACCCAGTCTCACGACTGTTGCAAATGCATTTTTCTGGACTCCAGACATGATTCATTTTGACACTTTTGAAAAAAAAAATGCCTTGCTTAATTGCATACTATAGCGTGTCACTGGGAAGATGAGCCTAGTAAGTTGTGTGTGTGTCCCAAGCAAATTAGCACATGAGATATAGAGTAAAACCTGCTTATCGCATATCACAAAAATATGAATATTTTCATAAGCTCTTAAAAACCGGTTTTGTGACTGGAAGGAAAACAACTATGCATGTCCAAACAGCAGAGCCAAGCACAAAAGATTGCTAGGTGTGCCTTAGGAAGGATTTATTTGTGGTCTAAATTTTACAGAAGAGCTAGAATTTGAGTATCTGGTCTCTGATGGGAAGATCACCTTCTCATTAGGATGTTCAGCATCTCTGCTTTCTGTATCCTCTTTTTCCACTGACAACAATTGTGTAGTGTGGGATGTTTGACTTTGCTGGCAAACCTTTTACGTGATCGGTGCCAAGGGGCTTTGTGAAATTTCCTTAAGGTCTTTTTCATTTCTGTTCTCATTGTTTCAAGCACTCTGCTACTTCTCAGTTCCTGAGAGTTGGATACATAGTAGGGTGTGAGTACCTGGGGCATTGTGGCAAGTTCTTGATGGCTAGCAAGTGACTGATAATGAGAAAACCAGAGGACAGCAAAGACATCTCTGGGTTGGGCTGTGGCACTATTATTACATTATGTTTCAATTTTCCCTATTCCAAGTAAGTTGATAAGCATCAGGAAACAGCCCTCCCCCCTTTTTTGTTTGTTTTGTTTTGCTGTGTGTTGTTTTTACAACTACTAGCGCCATGGATGTATTGAGGTTATTATTGTGTGCCAGGTGCTTGTTCAGCACTTTCTGTGTATTATCTCATTTAATCTTTACACTGAGCAAAGTACAGCAATTATAGGAGGTATGCCTTCTAATTTGTGAGTGAGGAGGCTTTCCAGGAATATCCTAGTCATTTTTATTCCTGGAGAGGAATTATGAAGAGCAAATTGCCACTATTTCTACATTGATCCAGATGAACAAGTTAGAGCAGTCTATAAAAGAAACACTCAGCCTTTTTACTGCTGCCTCAACCGGAAAAGTATAGGTATCTTAATTAGCATTGTGCTCTGTGGGGTTCGAGTCAGCTTGACCTAGTGGTTTTTTTCCTAGTGTGGGGATGGGTCAGGAGGGGGTTAACTTTTTTTACTTGGTGACTGGTAAATGATGCCCATTACCAATTATTAGTCACCCCATTTTTACATATTGGCCAACAAGAAAGTTAAGGTTGTATGCTATCCTCCACAGAATCAGAAAAAATATCCCATGTTTTCTTCCCATGAAGGGTGATTCGGGGCATCAGTAAGGGTTTGTATTATTGTCATTGTTGTAGAAGACAGTATACAGGACTGATAGAATTCCATGGACTTAAAATATTTTAATGCGAGTTTCCATTCTGAGCAGAGTTGAGGTGGTGGAGCTTTTCCTTCCATGGGGACTGCTTTTTAGGGACTTGGAGCTTTTTTAAAGGGCTTTGGGCAGCGGAGAAAAGGCAGTTAGTTCAGCTTATGAGCTGAGAGGTCTTTTCTGGCGTGTCAGTAAGAAACTCTTGACTTCATAGCAATTATGTAATCCAAATAGGTAACAGAATGGGACAGTTGTTTGGGAGTGTTTATTTTCTTGGGAAGGATTTTCTCTGCTTTTAGAAAATTGTACCCCGGGAGGAGGGTGGGAGGCAGACACGTCATCAAATAATCCACGGGATGGAATGTCCTGGGACCAGGCCGTGCCCTTCTCCGCTGAGGGTTTAGGCCCAGGGGAGTGGGGGTTGAATGGCTGTGGTGACATCTAACAGCTGGGCTGAGGCTTCTCCTGCACCCGAGACATTATTTCTCGCCTTTGGAGCAACAAAGTGTTGGCGTTCATTCTAGGCCTTTCATTGACTAAGTGGCCCTGTATTCTCCTCTCCCAGTGTTTCCACTTCCTAGAATAAAGCTTGAAACCACTTTTCAGATGCAATAATTTGGTTGTGTCATTTTGCTGAGGACACCCAGCCCCGGGTCCGCCAGGAGATTGGTGTGCACACGTGCACCATCCACCCAACAAGTCAAGGGCGGAGTCCACCTTGGCACACAGATGTCTTCCTTTCAGGTTTGCTATTTGTAAGAGCAGCACCCTGCTACCCTGGCTTTCAGTAGCCACTACTTTTCTTTGGTGACTGTCGGCCCTACAGTTCTTTAAACCTTGGGTTTTTCTTTGGGATTTAGACAGCCAGCCTTGGGAAGACTCTGGGGGGGTAATTTCCAGGTCTTGACTTCTTCCACCGGAAGAATGGGTTCCTGCTGATTTCTACGATGTCTTGATTCTCATCAGAGTTTTGCATTAATTTTTAACTCACGTTTCTAATCTACTTGCTGGTTTAAAGTCGAAACCCTGCCATCCATGCTGTTTTGTGATCTCATTTTTGCCTCTGCCAGAGGTGACTCATGCCCAGGAGCTGGCGATGCCCAGTGGCTGCCTACCCTCCCAGCCTCACCAGGGGAGCCATCCTTTCTTTTGTCTGCTCTTGGGCCTAATGGCTCAGTTCATTCTTGCCTCCCTTTCCCTCTTTCGTATCGTGAAGTTGCCCTGTTTGCTGATCAGATCCAGCCCTGCTGGCCAGATTATGTAAATTCCAATGAAAACAGCTAATTAAATTGAATGATTTAGACTCCGTAAGCTTAAATCTGTCTCTTCATCTCATTCTTTGCTTCCTTCAGGTTTTGAAACAAGTAGCCAGCCCCAAATGCCACATTTTGTCATGTGCATGTTTCTTATCTTTTTATGTGAAGTATCGGGAGCTGTTTCTTCACTACGTTGCCCTTCATTTGAATGGAAGGGCAACGCCTGCCGTTCCACGCCTTCTGGGTTTCTCTCCATAAAAATGATTCTGTGATAGTTTCATTTCACTCTCCTATGTAGGCAGGGTTTTCTTGTATTCTCATCTTCGCATATTTTTGATATTTCTAATTTTTTCCCCTATGTGGCTTGAGTTCAGGTTTCTTTAACTTTATTACTAAAGTAAAGTAACAGCTGTTGCCACAGTAGCTTCTTAAAAGCCCGAGAGTCCCAAACGGCTAGATAGTATTTCTGCTGAAATCATGGAGCAAAACTATATAGTCTTTTTACCCCTTTGGGAACTTTGTCAATGAGAGAGGCTGGATCACACGAGTGTTGTCACAGAGAAGGGGTCACATCAATAAATATCTACAGCGCCATAAAGATAAAACTGCTTTCATAGGCAGCCCTCACTCAGAGTTGTATCCTTAACATAGGAACTCTGACTTGCCCTAGAGATCAGGAGCATATTTTGTGGAGTGTTATTACACATGTGGTGCTGCCTCTGCGAGAAACAGAGGGAGGGGGAAAGCCAGCCAGAATCCTAGTGAGAGGGAAGGAAATACTGCCAGCTGCCTTCCTCTTCTGTCTAAGCATACATACCACCCAAGGAGCCCCTTTCCTATGGCAGAGAGAGTGAGGCTTCATCACACAACGCCATAACATTTATAGCTCCCCAGTTTCCAACCATGTTAAGATAAAAACTTATATTTTGCTAAATGGTTTTTCCTTCTGTTAGTTTGGTATGGTCTTTCCTGT